GTATACAGACATAAGAAGAAGCAACAAAACGAAAGAAAATGTTTATAATTAGCGATGTAATGTGCATAAGATATTTCTAACGCATTTCAATACATGTCGAGTATGAGGAAAAAACGAAACAAATGACTATCACACATAGATTGCCACATGATATGTTTTGAATCTGCTGAATAATCAAAAGAAATAATTGGGTGCCGTAGATTGGTGTGCTTGATATATTTTATTTTTTTGAGACAAAAATCGAACATGGACTACATCAAAATTTAAATTTTACGTCAAAATCTTAAAATTTGTCGATTATATCTGAATCTGCACACAAGAATAGTAGACAACGAAAAACAAAAGGCTGTATTTATTATGTTATCAGCAATTATTATGTTATTTTGGGGTCAGACGTATTAAATACACGTTTCTTTTATAGTTATTCGGTTATCATGCTATATTAAATGGTAATTTGCATTTGTACCCATTTCAATATGGTCGAAACAATTTGTCGTTGACGATGTTTTCTGCTAATTCCAATAACGTTGAATGAATTCATAACTGAACACTAGTCTAGATGGAATTTAATTGGGTTCTATAGATAATATTTTATTTTAATTAACTAGTTCATTACCAAATTGATTGGTTACCATCTCAGGTGGGTATGGGTGTGGTCTTCACTTCACTTCAAGCAATATCCACACTCAACTTAGATAGTAACCAATCAATTTGATAATGAACTAGTTAATTAAGCTACAATGTTATATGTAGAACCGATCAGACTTAATCCAGGCTAGTTTTCGGTTATGAATTAATTCGGTGATATTGTAATTGACGAAAAAGATCGTCAGCAAAAAAAGAATTCGACGAAAATGGACTAATTTTATGACATGATTATCACGTAACACCCTATGAAAATGTCTCATTGGAAAGAAGAATAAGGGAATTTATGAAAGAAGGAAAGAACATAGAGTAGAATGAAGGAATCGCAAACAGAAAAATCATTCTTTTGACTCGTAGCTTTCATAATTGGGTTAATTTAAAGAACTTTTTTCTGTTCTTTTCTCAGGTGGATAGCTGAATGTCAAGCTCTACAAGCTCATTTAAAAATTACCAATAATGCACTACCAAAAGTTGTTGAATCACTTTTTTTTGCATTAACTTCTACAAGTTATCTGCAATTACTCCATGTGGGTTTATTGCAAATTTTCAGACATTTTACATAGAATCATTAAAAATCGGTTTTCTCATCATCCTTACAAGATTAATTAATACTTTTTTCACGGATCGATAGAGAAAGTAATTTCCTACAAATGATGAGATGCTTTCCATAAGATTGATCAAGAAGTCAAAATAGTTATCGAAATAGTCAAACTAAAAAAAACCGAGAAAAACTTCTGGAATTACTCCATTTAGGGCGGTAATTGTTGACAGATAGAGAAAGTATGGGACAATTGCAGTCAACTATGTAAAACGGCCACAAAAGTTCAAATATGATGTAAACCATTTTTTAGCAACCTGTAACTGCTGTAAAAATTGTACGCTACCTAAAAGGTATATAAAAATCGATCTGTATTAATATAGACGAAATGCTACTTGTTTTTGCAGTGTAATTAAATAATTAGTACGTAAAAAAATAGTGAAATGTTTAATCGATTGGGCACACTTTGTTTTGATTGATGTTTTCTTTGGAAATAGAAGGTGTAGAATTACAGAATAATTAATAATATCTGAGTTAGTCTCATGCTATAGACACGAAATTTATTCAGTAATCAACTTTTGGACTATTGTGGAAGCAATGAAAGAATAGAAATGGTCCATCTAAATATACATTGGAATTATTTAAAAATCGCATGGTCGTCTTGTAGATCATTTTGTTTCCTATAGGAAAATATTTTTTTTCTGATCGAAAGTAGTGATATTATTTTCAATAAAACCTAGGAACAGTAACATTTTTCCATGATTGGCTCTAAGATTGCATTATTTTATATGTTTGTTGATGTTAGAAATTGCTTCTAGAGAAGACTGGGTAGTATTGTGATCTGTTCAATAATGTTAATTGCCAAGTCGATATTGCTGCTATGCCTTCTCTGATACTCTATTCTTATTTATATTTCCGCTTGTTTTTCACATGTGATCTTGTCAAAACGATCTTTGTAATTATAGCTTACGAGGAACTATCACCGATTGTTCAATCGCTTTTGCATTCAGACTATGTGTATTATATAGATTGAAATGAACTATGAACACGCTGAAAAAAGCTCAGATGCTTGGATTGTTGCTGTGAGGATACTGCAGTTTTGTGGTAGTTTTTAAATAAATTCAGTGGTCCTTCTGAGGAGCAGCTGAAAAACTTGGTTTTTGGAATTTCGACTTGAAACTTTACTTAGAATGAGGCTTTGAGGAGAATTGTTTTTGTGTACTCAAAAAGTGAGTACACTCTAGAATCGGTCAGTATGTCCGTCCGGCCGTCCGTCCGTCCGGCCGGCCGGCCGTTAACACGATAACTTTTGAAAGGAGAGTCCAATCGCGATGAAATTTTCTACACAGTTCAGTCTTAACAATGTCTCGGTCGAGTTCGAAGATGAGAATGATTAGCCGAACCATTACTGAGTTATTGCAAAAATAGTCATTTTTCCCTATGAGAAGATAGACCCTTCTCTGTTTTCATTAAAAACTTTTCCTATAACAGTCAGATAAAACCCCAACTATTATACACCATTCGATAGAGAATTTCACGAGCTACAAAATGGTATATAAAACATAAAGAAACAAGAAAGCTAACTCGCCTATTGCAAAGATAATTAATCGGAATTTGGTTCTGTTTTTGCCCACGCTCTATGTGATCCACAATTAGAGTTCTATCTTTCCATCACAGAGATGATAGTTCGATGTTTTCCAGAATGGAGAACTCGAATCTATGTTCCATTCGCCTCGAAATCCCATTGGTTGAGCAGTGACCAATAGAAATGAAGTTATCGGAAAAACGACTTTCTTAGGGTAAGTCAAGGTGAAGAGTTCAAATCTGAGCTGTATTTGCCTCCAAATCGTATTGGCTGAGCAATAGCCAATAGAAATTAAGTGTTTACAGAAAGGGTTTGCCAGGACAATTTTGATGTTCACACATTCTAGGGTGACTCCTCTGTCTGATTCACTTTTTGAAGTACACATAACTCTCGGATTTAAATCCGAGGTTTCCACATTTATTTATGAATAATTCAGGTTTTGTCGCTATTGTTATTTGCATATACAACTATGGTAATAACATTGTCTTGTATATCACTCCGATAAACTAGCAGATTTGCTGATCTCATTTGAGGATAGTATTAAATCAAAAGACCTGAAAACTTTGACAGATATCTATTTTCGTTAAGATATGTTTCTGTGCAGTTTCAGATGAAAACTCGGAAATCAGGTTTTCTGGTGTTCCTGAAGGCAACCGTCGCATTTATTTAAGAAATATCGGAAAAGCGCAGTATCTCCGTAACAATACACTAAGGGTCTGAACTCTTCTCAGAGTATTCGAAGCTCATTTGAATCTAGATAATACACATGGTCTCAACGGAAAAGCGATTGAAAAATTGGTGACCTTATCTCGTTAGCCCTTCCATTCGAATTGATAGAGACTCTCCACAATAGACAGCAGTATCCCTTCGAGAACAATGCTTTCTCACTTTAAGTACTATTACCCAATTAGAATAAATTTTACAATGCAAATGTTGAGTTTTGTGATTCGTCTGGAGAACAGGAATTCTTCTTGCCGAACAGTTTTGCAGAAGTTAAATAATCAAGGCATGAGTTGTAGCAAAGGCATTTCATGATACATTCGATCTAAATTATTTTTCGAACCATACAAGTCTGTTTATTTTGGTTCTTTTGTTGTCAGTGACATCCTCATGCTGTCTCGCTTCAGATGTAATGAAAACTAGCGTCTGAGATGTCAATTAACTAGATAAACGGTGCTTCGATGAGAAAGAAAGACGTATTGAAAATTTAATCTCATTGTTTGACTAATTAATGCGATCATACCATTTACAAAGTGTTGCGGTAGCACGTGTACTGGAAAAATTAATGGTTATTGTGATACGACAGTTTCGCGCATGACATTTCTGCGCCGACTTTTCCTCGCAAGATATTTACACGCTCGACACTTCCACGTACAGGCATTTCCACGCGTGACACTTCCACGTACA